TCAGTTGTTAGGAAATTTTGAATTTTGCCCAGGTGGCGGCCGAAAGCTACTCTTGTCGATTTTAGACCACCAAGTGATCTTACACCTTAACCTCTAGGCCACGAGAGCCCCCTTGTCTGGGTCGCTACGTGCGAAAGACAATACACAATTTTCAGAACGAGGTAGGGATGGGAGGGCGGGGGGTGTCAAGTGAAATACTGTAAACTTTGACCATTTTATAAGCTTAACATTGAATCGCGGTTATTGTGGTCGAAATGCTCTTATAATTTACTATAAAAATAAGTTGTTGATTTTGGCTGTAGCTCTTTTTAATCATACCTGCTGAACATTGTTGTTTGTTATTATTTATTCATTTATTTATTATTGATTGATTGATTGATTGATTGATTGATTGATTGATTGATTGATTGATTGATTGATTGATTGATTCATGGCGATTGATTGGTTGGTTGATTCATTCATTTATCACATTCATTCATTATTTTATTTAAATTTATTTGTGTATGTGTGTGTACGCAAGTTGAAAAAAAAATCGCCCTTGTCGTTCACACGACGCAAATTAAACCATAAATGATTACTTTGAAGTAATCTGGGCTTTACCTAAGATTATTGTTTCATTAGAACAATTTTAGAGAAAGTAGGCCTACATCCTGTTGTCGTCAATGTTGAAACCTAATCCCCCGCTGGAGGCGATTTAGACTATTATATATATGAATATATATAATTATGATAAATATTGTATGATTTAGGTGCTAATTTAACCTTTGTTTCTCTGAATAATCCAGTCTGCGTGGCAAGACAGATCACGATTTTTATACCCAAACAGAAAGACGATTTATAATAATAATAGTTCGTCCGTCAATGTCTGGCGATGAATTTGGGTCCGCAGAGGAGAATATTTCTCAAACGAAATACATGTTAGAAGAATTTGATAAAAACAGTTTTTTAAAGGGATGGACTGAAGGCTATCTCGGCTATTACTTATTACAAACCCTAGAGAGCTCATATTTGCTGTGGGTGGAGTATCATGTAGGCTATCACTGGGGATTTAAAATCTATTGTTAAAAAAAGTGAATCTGGTTTGGTTAACATGGAAACAGCGGCCATATATAGGATTTTGTATACCGCTACCTGTTTTGATCCCATTTTATTCACTTGTTTTTCAACAAATATACACTTTTAGTTTGGTATAGTGCGTAGGAAAAATGATATCTAAAAATTTATTAAAGGAATTTTTTCAGTTTTCGTTTTATGGCACTTAAAAATCGGCCTATAGTATAATAACTGTGGGAAAAAACGGAAAAATCAAGCTTTCGGAGGCCATTTATATATATATA